TTTTTTTTTTTTTTTTTTTTTTTGCAAGTTCTAGGCATGTATTGAAAAGGATCAAGAAGTATCAACTTTTTAGTATTAGTCGACATCTTGAAATGTATTGCAGATATTTGTTAATAATTTTTTCACTCAAATGCAGATACGAGAAGAACCGTGTGGAGCAAAGGAATTAATAATTGTTGCTGGAACACGGAGTGTTAGTGGTTATCCAGCTCCAACCGGTACCATAATTTCTGCATTCAATTCATGCAAAATACCGGTGCCTTTGTTAGCTAGTGGAACATTTATAATGAATTTCTCAGACAGCCATCCGTTCGACATCATTGATGAAGATATAAAGGTTAAATTGTTTTTGTCTTTGTGTTCCTAAATTGGCAATGATAAAATCAACAGAAGTTATGTACTACGATATTTGGCTCGCATTAGTAGTATATTTTTATCTATTGTTATTAGTGAAATGTAATCGTACATGCAAGATAATAATTCTCTTAAAGAAATGCATAATAAATAATCTATATTAATTTTGCAAGTGTTGACATTTTTGTGCAAATAGCATTCAGAATGAGGTCTGAATTTCGTCTTTGCAGGCAAAGTTGATGGTTGAATTCAGTTTATTAGGTGGTGGTCGAATTGGCGTATTGAATGATTTGAGTAATAATGATGTTTTGGAATTATCTAAAAATTACTGTGTGATCAAATTCGACTGAATTGAAATTTCCGATACACATAATATACGAATGAAAAAGAAGTTATTTTGTACAGTATCATACCAATTGTTGGACGCTGTGTTATATTCTCCGTCTGCCTTGAGCAACAAATATTTCCAGTCTGTCTTTTTAATTTAATATGAATGTTTTTTTTCACTACTTTAATATTATTTCGTTACTTGAGTATAATAATTTGTATAGAGGCAAATTCTGTAAACTGAATTTGATGCCTGTGTTATACTGAAGTACGGTTTTGATTTTTGGTGTATTCATACTGTAGTCATTTTTTGACCATTCTGGAATATTCCCTTTCAAATTATTGTCACGAGTAATGGTAATGAGTTAGTTGCTAAGCCAAATTAAAAACGAGAACTTTTCCTCGAAATACCTGAGTTGATTTGGTACAAGAATATTTATATATGTATGATATGCATAGTGGATTTAATTATTCACTAAGTCTAATTCTCATGACATATATTTGAATCAAAGAGTGGATTTATATTGTATTGTATAACTCTCTTTATCTTTATTCTCGGAACAGATTTCTTATACATAGGTGACCAATGTTTGGGCATATTGTATTCATGTACTGAATTTCTCTTACAGATATCTGCGAAGTCGTCTGTATAAGCTATGCAGTTATTTTCTACGGAAATGAATGTAAGGAAAAGCAGATATAATAAGTATATTATTACTATTACATTGTTTATTGTTACGGTGTTGTTTTCGGTGGCGCTTTTTTGCAATGTACAGCTCAGAATATGTATCAGTGCTAAGAATATTCGGTTGCTAAATTTTCAGACTTTCACTTCATTTTTTTTTTGTTTTTACTTTTGCATATTTGTATTTATTGCATAATTTTCATTTTTTCTCAAAGCAATTCATATTTTTTTTCTTTTTTTTTACAAAATTCAAATTAGTATTTTAAAAAAATACTATTTTATTATCTGTTATTTATTATTATTATTATTATTATTATTATTATTATTATTATTATTATTTAATTGTTCACTTCTTTAACAGTGCCTTTTCTTTATAAAGCCTTTTTCATACGTGCACATTATTTCTCTTTCACTCTTGTCAAATTTTCTAATGTCATTTTGTTAATTTAATTATGTAGTAGAGTTAAACAGTTCTTGAGATGAAAGATCTTAAATTATAGCTGAAAGTGTTTTGTTAATTCTTGTAGTGATATAATACATTATTAGAGTGTGGAATGGAAAGAATTTATAGTTTGTGAAATGTAAAGCTAGATGAATTAATGGGTATAATAAGTAAATAAGCACGTTGTAAAATAGATATATTCAAAAAATATTGGTAAGAGATTGGGCATTTTGATGGTTGTACAGTAAGTATACTGAAGTTTGATTCTGTAGTAAAGTAATGTTTGATTTAATTTTTGTAATATTGAATTTGACTTTCGGTGTATCCTTGCAACGCCTAATACTTAATTTCTAGTGTATTAGATAAGTGGTTTGTAAATTTGTTTTTAATTTTTATATGGTGCATATCATTCATTATTATAAGTCTCAATAATGTGTATTTGAAAAGCCTTGGTCATATATTCATTCTAAATAAAATTGCGAATAGATAATGTGTAATGAAGGCAAGTGATAAGGAAGTATTAATTTAACGAGAATCAGTACTGTACTTCTGTCGTTATCAATGACTCTTACTGTTAATTTTTCCTTACATGGGTGACTGTATTTAAAGTACTGACGGAGTGTAAGTAATCAGTAAAGTTAAAAGTGTCTGACTGATTCTGTCGAGTAAGTTGTAGTACAGTTGTTGAGCATTAATTCATGTAATGAAATTAAAGTTAAGGTTGTTAGACTTAATTAGTAAGACAGTGTTTGTTATTTTCATGCTAATTAGTTTAATTTCTTTCTTTGTCATTTGAGATGAAAACGATAAGAGCTACACTGACCTTTGACAGTGGTGTGTTTTCAACTTATAAATATTTTGTACCATTAATTGACCTTAATATTTAATTACTTTCCAATTCAATTAAGTGATGTATTTTACATTCAAAAAGTTGATCTTTGATGACAGCATTAATTTATTTAAAGGAATGATCTAATTTATTGTAACGATCTTAAATTGTAAGAAATTATAATGAATGGAATTATCATTCTTGGAATTTGTAAAAGCCAAAAATCTAGTACTAATTAAGTAAAAAATATATGTTGATCTGTAATATGTAATGGCAAAGTATCATTTCATCAAGTTTTATTTTTCTTTGATGACTGTATATAATATCTTAGTAGTGTTTGTATTTCTATTGCTATCTACCAAAAATATCTGCGGTACAGTATGTTAACTAGTCTGATTGCATCAGACAGACTAGAATCGCACTGAAGAGATGAATCTTCAACTAATTTAATACTTCCTTGTACCACTTTTGGCCTGAATTAAACTTACTACGATGAGTTAATGCTTTCTTCTTACAAATGTTTGTTGATTAGACAAGGTCATATCGTATTCTTCACTTGATTTTATATTTAAAGAATAATTCATATATGAAGAAGTAGACTTAGAGTATTTAATTGACCCTCCTCAAGTCTGAGCTTGAATGGCTCGCAATAACTAAGTGGAATGACAATACGAACAGATAGTTAAATGTTACAATTATGACCATTTTTACAATCGAATACTAATGATTTATTATGTGTTTGGCACTATATATTACCCATCGTACATATCTTTATTATCACATGTTGTAGCGACATTAATTTATCATTGGGAGATATATTCAAAATTCCTTCATGTTGTATTTATCATCTATCCTAGGTATGTATATGATATCACAAATAACAAGATATTTATGCGTTAGTGCACAATTCTTGTATTGGATTTTTCGATGAATGAATATATCTGTATCAGATATATGCTGTGCATGTATATAATATAGAGTAATACCATATCCCATAGTATTATTCTATATTGATATATCCTATATGTCATCCTTTATTTTGCATATTGTTCTTAAAAACTGACAAAGAAATATATGTATAAATATTTAGTACATTTTACTTAATGTAGCAGATTTCCTCTGTAACTATTAACCAGTCTTTGCGTACTTAAAAATTGCTACCTTCTGCAAAAATATTTTCGAGTTTCACATGAGCAACTCGTATTAGGAAGGAGCAGAGTATCTTAGAGGAACGCTAGTTTGCTTTATGGTGAAAAGTAAGACTAAAAAAAACGTTAAAGTTATTTTTATTATATTCAATCATCAGCACAGTTGAAGAAAATTTCAAGCAGCAGTATATAACAATGCATTAGTGATGAAAGAGGAAATCATATTTTATTTCACTCATTATGTACGTCAAGAACAGCTGATCTGTACCAAACAAAGCCACAATAAACAGCTCGAGGTCGTATGATCGAAAAATGCTTATTGGACCACAATTTTCACATGCTTTCCAAAGAAGTATACTGATAAAATGTGAAATAAAAATAGATCTCTAACGGCTTACAGATGAATAATGAGGAAATACCAACAAAAACTAGCTGATCTTGCGAGGCTTCACATCATGTTTAATTTTCAGTAGGCGCGGTAATTGCTGTCTATTATTTATTTTCATGTCAAAAGTAGCTTATCAGCTAAAATTACAAGATTAAGGAGAATTATTTAAAGTGCCAATATTAACAGTACTAAGGTTAAGGCAACAATAGTACACATTCAAACATAAAACAATAGAACGTACTAATTGAGTACTAACTGAGTGCAGAAAAAACTTTTCTTAGTTCCGAGTGACTGGGATTACTAATTGGTTACTTTCTTAACGTTTTATTTTCAACCACTTTTCTTCCTTCCATATAATTTTTGAATATTACTGTGAAGTGAAAACTTTCAAATTTCGGAATATACTTTTCTTTTACAAATGATGTGAAAAGTTTCCATAAAAATTGAAATAATCGATATTATTTTTTACTGCACTGTGTTATTTTCTATCCAATTACTTTTCATCCAAAGATCATTTACTCATCAGAAGGTGAAGCTCGTTCGGTCTGTCCATTGGAATCAGCTACTAGCAATGCGGTTATAAACAAAAGTCGATCGTCTAAAGATAAAGATGAAATTGTCTGAAACAGCTGGCAGTGTATCGCACTCATGGAAAGACTCCATTGATTACTGATCTGGAAAAGTTATGGAATCAAAAACGAACGACAAATTGCAACCACCGAATCGACTTAAATTACCAAGTTATGAAGATAAGATTTAGTAAGAAGAAAAAATAAGCAACGAGGAAAATTTTTTGATTAAAAGGGCATTTTAAACTATTATTGAAAAAGCAATTAAAATAGAATTTAATTAAATTTTTGAAAAATCTCCAAAACATTACAAGAGTAATTCAATAGCAGTAGAACCACCAATGTTAAACTTCAAACTATCGAAAACTTGGTACCTCTAAAAAAAAGTTTATTTATTATAAAAATTTATCAAAGAGAAAAGTACATCTCTGATGGCTCTGAAGATAGTCACAGTTTCATCAATATACCCTCTTGTTATTCGCGTAAAAAATGTAATGGGAAGAAGAATAGGATCAAATATGATCAAAGCACAAAAGTTATGTAATGTCCATGCTTCAGGAAAGTCTGAAAGCTATTGCTAAGCTTTTGTCAATGATTGCAAACAAATCAAAAATTAATGACAGTAGAAAGAGCTAACTTGATATCTCTTCGAGCAGATCAAAAATTTGGTCTTCATTCCAACAGTAACGTTCAATAGCTGAAGTCTGTATCAAGCAGTCAAAAGCATGTGAGATTGGACGCAGTATGTTCGCACATATATTTGGTGATTCAATATTTCGATCAACCAGCAGTCTCCAATGAATAATTACTAAAATGTTTGGGCTTCAATAATAATCAGTGATTATAATTTTGAAAAAGAATACTATAATTTGAAGAGAAAATTAAAAGTCAGGCTCATGAAAAAGAAAACTTTCTTACAATACTTTCTAATGAAATAAAAAGATTTTTCACACAAAAATAACCTACTGGTCCCATCTATGTCTTGCAATGGTCCGTACATAAGAATAAACAGTCTAGTTTTGCGTTCTATTGTTTCCTGTGTATTTAAAATAGCAGAAATCCAAAATCCCACTTCAAGATCTTTTTGAAAAGGACCATCCAGGAAACCAAATCGCAAAGCATTGCGAACCTTAAAATTAAAGAACAAAATCTATAACATATTCTCCAGTTACTCCCTAAGTGAGTGGATGGTAGATTACAATTATACTGATTCTTACAATTATATTAATTGGTATTCATGTATGTTTAATACCACTGAATATAATTGTAAGAAGGAGCTATGATCAAATAGTTCAGATTAAACTTATTTTTTTGAAAGCGCACCTTCATTTCTAACAGTGGGTATTTTCCTGCATCTTCCAACAAAACCGTATCTATCGATTTGTACAAATCAGTGACCTCGAGTACCATATGCAAAAATAATGCGCGATCTTCAAATTTCCAATTGCCACAGATCTGGAAAATCCTTAGTAGAAGCTACTTTAACTTTTTTTGACTAAAATTAAACCACAGAAGAGAGATGATAACTTTTTTAAAAGACTAACAGTCATGAAGCAACGATTCCAGCCAAACCAATTAATGATGTTCAAATCCTGGAAAAATTGAAAATTTACAAAGTTAAAAATTTGAATGAAAGAGGTAACTTAAATCATAAACATAATATGCTAGAATCAAATACTTTGATGAAGTAGTAGGTTACAAAAGAACAACACTTCTGATGATCCAGTATGGCTGTAGCTGCTTTGAAAAGTTTGCCTGAAATATAGTATATTTTCCTCCGGACAAATTTTTTGTAAACGCAACTGATTTATAAAATAAAACATTTTGAAAACCGACCCCAAGCAGAAAACTGATCACATCCTTCAAAAGTTTCCTCCAAATCCTTAGTTTCAAAATAAAATCGTCGTCTTGAACTTTCTCGTACTAAGTAACACCGAATCAAATAATTAAAAGCATGAGATGTTAGACAAAATTGTCCCAAACTTTCAACTGAAAAAATAGAGCTTCCACATTAGTATGAAACAATAATAAATAAATGGATGAAATTACAAAGTACGCAACATTTTTCTGAGAATGAACTAATTAAATTATAAATTCAAATTTATAAAAATGTGAAAAACAAACCTTCGATATAATCGAAAACAGTATACAATAGTTCTCTTGGAAGTTTGCGAAAATTTCCAAGTGATTTTGCGGGTTTTTTTATTTTTGGTACCATTTCCAGCAAATTGTTTTTTAACACTGAAATCGAAAACATACTTATGACATTTGTGATTTTAATAGACTTTACAACTAGTAAATTCTAACTTCTCTTTACACCGACTAAAAGATGAAAGGATTTTAAGAAAATAAACGAAACTAATCATTTTTTCAGAAACTGTGTCAACTTAACCTAATAAAAGACAAATAATTTCTCGGTATGTAATAACTTTGTGATTTCGAAATATAAAGTGCTTTGCTCACTTTTTTCTCTGCTCATGACGCTGCTAGGATAATCGAGGTTGGCCATCTGATCACAAGCTTTCTAAAAAAAACAAACGAAGTATCAACATCACAATATCTTACATTAATATTATAAATAATACATGGCAAATTTACTAGTAATTCATATACTGAATCCTTTCAACACAAATTGAAAATATTTGTACAATTAAGAGAATTATTATAGGAATATATAATTTTCGAAAACTGATTCTTATTAACAAGGAGAATGAAAGAAATGAATGAATCCGATATACTAACTCATATTTTCAACACATTATAAAATTCAAAATTTCTCTCTTTTCACTAGTTATTTTTTATTTAAAAAAAATGTGAATTCTATTGTTTAAAAAAATAAATTTAATTTGGTGGCAGTATTCTATCTTCTAAACGTTAATTTCGTATATACTGTTGCCAAAGAAGTGAAGTTTCTGAAACAGCAAAATGTTCACTAGTAATTTATATTTTAAAAAATGTGAATTCTATTCTTTAAATAATAAATTTAAACTAGTGGCAATATTGAGAATTCTTTCCTTTGAACGTTAACTTCGTTTATACTGTTGCCACAGAAGTGAAGTTTCTGAAACAACCGAATATTTACACCTTAATTCAAATCTATTGCAGGTTTTTTTTCTAACGCATAACACAAATGGCAAATAAATCGCGTGATTTTTGCGGTATACTATAAATGATGATGAAAAGAGCATAGTCGTAAAGGAAACTGTAGATGGTTAGAAAAGACACGTAAGTGAAAGATACAAGTATGAATGAGGTTATCTCTCTAAAATATTTGTAAAAAGCTGCATAACACTAAATAGAAACTGATATAACGAAAGAAGTAACGGCTAGCTCATCTCTTCTGTTAAATGAAAAGTAACGCGCTAAAGAAATGGAATGGAATTTGCATTTCGTACCGATTATTTTCACTGAATTCAGACATGGGAAAATGGATAGATAGTCAGAGTCATAAATTTACTGAAAATTTACTCCACTTACGTAAAAATTAAGTGACTGAACGTGATTCAATCCTCCTCAAAACAAAGACTTACAGTTAACTTGACATTAAATCAATTGGTGATTAATTGTTCCAGAAATTTCTACACTGCCATTGAGTACCATATTTCGCAATTGTAAGCTCGTCACAGTCTGGTGAATTTGGCACTTTTACAAAACATACTTACGTTTACAGGCATTCTGCCAGATATGTTTGACGTGCGTAAATCATTTCAATTATTTGTCCAGTGCAATAGTAAGGCTACGAGAGTGATAACTTATTAATCTATTAACCTTATCATAACGTGATTAGCAAAGGTGATATCTGCTGAGAGCAATGAATATTTAATTCCACAATTTATTTTTAATGTTTTAATTATATTTATTATTTGTCATTTTTCAATACTGCGTGACCTTTCAACTTAATCTCAAGTTATTAAAGCAAATGACGAAGAATTATGGGTTAATTTACAATTAAATATGTTCATATTAATACTTATTTACTTGTGATTCATCAGTCTACATTTTTCTCAAAAGAATTATTAATAATTAATAACAGATCAAAGAAACGTAGAATGGACTGGATACAAATATCTAGCTATATCGAATTTAAGAGAAATGAATGAGTAATCCATCAGTAATAGATTCCATCATATCTAATCAGTTTGCTTTTAGATAAGAAAGAATAGATTTTTGTTTAATTACTGAATTTAAAATGAATATTCAATTCATAAATCGTTTTTTAGCCAAGTATTCAGCTCGTAATCGAGCAGCGCGATTTGTTAGAGGCAAATCGTCCGTTTGTTTAAAAGAATTATTTGGCGTGTACGGTATTTTTGATTGACGTTGTTTAGCACCAGATGAAAATGTATGTCGTAGATAAGTTTTAGGCTAAAAATTGATTAAGTAGGTATTAAGTATTAAATGATAAATTAAACTTTATAATAAAAAGAATAAGCAAAAGTTAGCTATTTTCATTTTATATTTTTATTTTTTAATAAATTTACAATAAATAATTGTTACTATTCATAAGTTTAATTTACAGATATTTGATTTATATTACTGCTATTTAATATATCTTACGTATTTGTTCAGTTTGCATCATTATCTATTAATCACAATCCGAAAAAATGATTTTTTTCAAATTCTGAAACGTTCGATTCAGTTTTGTATCTTGCCATGAGTATTATTATATTTCCAGATAGATATTGGTGAATATTTAGGAGTTAAAAATTGAATAGATTACCGTTACTGGTGTAAGATTATTATATTCTAAATTGCACTTCATTTGTGGAGTACCGTATATCAAGATTTGTTTCCGTCTACTTTTTCCTATAAATTTTTTTCTATATTTCTTTTTTTTTTTTTTGAGATTAGCTTAATGTATTGAACTTGCATATCAGTAAGTAAGTTATTGTTACATTAATTGAAAGAAAGTATTTCGGAATAAATTAATAAATATGCAATTTTTTTAATTACTAATAAGTTATAAAAATTTTTAAATAAATGAATAAGTAAAACATACTTGAAGAGAAATTATTATTTGCTATCTTCGGGGTCAAAGAGCACGTGTAACTTTGTTTCGATGGCATAAATTTGTTTTCAAAATTAGTCTTTTGCAATTTTTCCGCGCTACTAAATATTATCACAAATATTTTACATCAGAAAATTACTTTTTTAAGTTTTATAAAAATTTATCAAAAAATTTTTATTGTTTTTTTATAAGTTAAAATTCTGCAGAGAAAATTTTTCACATGATTCATTTTCTCTATCTCAAGCTTTGTAAAGCATCACATATATCTTTGATTTATAAAATTTTAATTTCATCAAAAATTTTCTTACTCTTTATTTGTTGCATCAGAAATTATTATTGAGAAGAAGCAAACCTTAATTTTGGTAAATTTTCAGTAATCATTGCTATATGCGGCTTTTTTTCATCTTCAACGTATTTCGTTGACGTATTATGCGCTGGATTAGGATATATTGTCATGATAGGTGATCCTCTACTAGTAATTGTTGTCGTTTTCATGTTATTTTTAGCAGAATTGATGTTGTTGGAAGTGGTAGAAATTTTATCCCCATCACACTTTGTTTGTTTTACTGTGCTCATACTCGATACTTTGCATACAGATTCCTCGGAAGCTTCGTTGATGTCAAACAAATTTTGTGTCATAAACGTTGGTGATGTGTTTGTACTCACACATACATATTGCTTTCTTTCACATGCATTCATTGCTGTTTCTGTATCTTGTAACTTTGAATGATATACTGTATAAGTTTTACATCCTTCTGCTGCATTTGAAAGTATTTTAAAATATTTCGTATCTTTTTTTCTTTCATTCAAATTATTCAAAAATTGCTGAGGTTTATGTTGAGGTTCGTCTATCTTGCTAGGCAATTCATTAATGCACTCATTAATAAGACTTGTATGCAATTTGCTAATTTGAGTTGTAGTCTTGACAAGAGTTTCTGTTTCCTTCGTTTTTTCTGAAAATTTTCAAAATCATTTTTGCAGTTTTCAAATAATTTTTTTAATTGATTTTTTGTATATATGCCTAACAATATTGGTAGCACTAATATCTTTAAAATATAATTTTTAAAGAATTATTGTGATAATCTCTGAATAGCATTTTTACCCGCTGGTGATTGCGAGTATTTTTGAGTCGATTTCATTTTTTCTGCATTTTTTTTTGTAATCCGGGTATCTGTTTCAGTACTTGAGTTCCAATAATTCAATTGACATAGGTTAATTACCATTTCGTAAGCCATTTCTTTGATGGGCACATATTTAGGCTACAGTGTAATATTTATAAATAATAATAATAATAATAATGAATAGAAAAAACAACAATAATAATATAAACAGTATTAACAATAAAATTCTTTATTTTTTAGGAGCAAATTCCGAAAAATATTAATAACTGAATAAATGCTCATTTGTCTCATTTTTTTATCTTGAACTAATTTACATAAGTGGAAGAATTTTTATCTTCGCGCTGTTTATCCGTTGTACTTTCTGCCCATTTTTCAGCAGCAATTATTAAGCTCGAGAAGTCATCGCTTATGCTTTTGACATCATCCACCATCTGTTTCATATCAAGTACAACGAATAACAAATTACCAAACTTTCTTGAGCAAATAAATTTCAATTACTTTCTAGTTTGTTGTTACTGTACCATTCGCCTTTAAAAAAATATGAAATATTGCTAAATTTAGCCAATATTATGAATTATTATCAGTAACAATCATAACAAACCACTTTTGAAGTATGCTGTTTTTATCAGTATTTATGTACATGTGTGCCCATCAGTTTTGCAAAAAAATATATGTAAATTTTGTAGCTACTGCTGATTTTTCAAAATTATGCAATAGCAGTAAAATTTTTTGCTATATTCAACCGTTATCAACTATTATGAAAATCAGTAACGTTCAAAAATACCATTATTTTCAATACATCAAAATAATGAAGCCGAAGAAAAATATGGTAGTTAGAGATATTGGAAAAAGTGGTCCCAGGTTCCTTATTACAAATACATGACTTTAATTCTTAATATTTTGAATTTTTATTTAATGCAACTTTAAAACTTTTGCACTGCAAAATATGCTCTGTTTCTTGAAGCGATTGATAGTCATTTCAACTCCGCTGTCTTTTTGTTTGCCAATAGCTAAAGAATCTGTTGACTGAATTATGCTGTTTAGTTAGAGAAAGTGCATTCTGTGACTCCTTAATTAGTATTACGACCTGCAATATTTAATTTTAAGTTAAATCAACCGTTATCATTATCGGTAACGATCAAAAATGTCAAGTAAATTTGTGAGCAGATAATATTATATCACATTTTGATAGAGAGTAAGTACATTAATAGGATAACTTTTAGCACAGGAAGGAATTCAAATTATAGTTTTTGAGACCAACTAGCAGCAAGGCAAAGTCACTATTTTAAAATTTTGTTTAAGTTAATTTTATGCCATGATTAATCACAGCTTGCGGAGTATCGTATAATGTTCAGATTCAAGAATTGATTCTTATTATTACTTTAAGATAATAAATAAAGTGGTATATTGAACATGACAGAAGCGGTATCTCAAACCGCTAATCATCAACGACTGAAGGAAATGTATATACATCTAACACCACTTAATGCTCGGGTACCTTACAGGTAGAACTTATTTCGTCATTTGCTGGCTTTCACAGGAAAAGTTTTTAAGGAAAAGTATTTTTTAATCAAATTTTCTTGAAAATTTGGTTTTTTTTGGATGCTTTCGATCCAGAAACACTTATTTGCCTTCTTGTATTTTCTTTCAAGATAAACTGTAGTTTATGTATTGATAAAGAAGAAAATGTGTGGATTGCAAGCAAAGGAGGATTATTTAAATTAAATCGTTCTGGTCAAATTCTCTTTCAAGAAAAAAACGATACAGCGAAGAAAGCTGAACCGTTTTGCAACGTATCATTGTGTGAAGATAAGGTTGTTATTCATATTTTGCAACAGGAATTCATTATATTATGGGTTAATTTTCTTGAAAGTTAGGTAATATTTTTATAGATAATTTATGCTTATTCGGAATCGGTGTCAGGTTTGACGGTGCTAAAGATTTTGGCATTAGATGGGGCATTGATTAGCGAGCAGTTTATTGATGGAAAAATTCAGAGTCTTAGTGTCAGTGGCAATGGCAAAATATTTCTGACGAAACGAGCTTTTGGAGAAGATTCTGTTATCTTCAGGTGTAGCAGGAATTCATCAAATTTTTAAACATACTACTATATTTACAAAAATTCATTTTTTGGTTATATTTTATTTGATTAGTTTTCCGTAAGTTTGTTTAAAATCTAAAAATGTTTTTGTAGAGCGGATATTGTTTCTCCCAGTTGTTGGGATGAAGTCATTTGTGAAGATGAGTATGTCTTCCAAACAGTTTGCACTTTGAGCAGTGATTTGCTAGTAGTCTCAACATGTACTCAACCCATTAATATGTATTCCAGGTAAGATTTGAAGTGAATTTGAATTTTACAGTAATTTAGATTTTTTCTTAAAAATTCATACATGAATTTAATTCTAATTTAATGAAACTTTTTAGTTAAATTTGTTATTGGCAGGTTGTTATGTTGCGATGGGTAGCTTATACATGTTTATCATTCTCAGGAATGCTAGCTAGCTTTTATGCAAGTATTTCACATACCAATTGCAAAAAAAGTTGTTAGGTTTTTCCCAAGGCAAATAAAAATTCCGTCTTAATTTCTACTTTCTTGAGTTCAAAATATATGGAAGTTTCGATATTTAAAAAGTAGTGCGCAGTAACTTCTTTTTTTATTCTTAATACTCAATAGCTTTAAGGTTCTCTTAGTCGAGTGTTTTCGTATATAATTTAAGTCTCTATTTATTTCTATTGCAGACAGTGTCTTCGATTAATCAGTGTAAAAGAAGGTAGAATGATCAAAAGTTTCAGTAGTGAAGGAAAAAAGGATGGACAAGTTTTTTTTCCTCTTTCTATACAGAAGTGAGTATTTTTTTCCCTACCACAGCAGTTAACTTTTAAGAGCTTTCATGGTTAGAAGGAGATGATTGATGTACAGGAAATGTAATTGTCTTAGTTTGCACTAAGACCGACTAACATTTTCTTTGGGAAAAGATAGTCGGTCATTCGTGGTATTCTCTTTTAATCATGCTACTTATTATTTTGAAATACTTTTCAATATTGAAATGAATGTGCTTTGATACTTCACGTATTGAAATTTCAGGTTACATTATTTCATTTTTTTCTTATGTTGCACACATTCTTTATTTTTCATAATATTGATCTCAAGATAACCAGAAAGATACGTTATTTCTCAGTTTACTAAATAGCATGCTTTCTAACATGTATTTCTACCAATTCTAAATAATATGTTTTTTACTCAGAAATTCTTATTGCCGTGAAATTAGAATCTGAAAAATACAAAAATGTGACATAAGATTTCTCAAGATAAAGAGATTTCCTCTCTCTTAAATTCTTTCTCTATTGTTTTCAACAAATATGGAAATTTTTTAAAGATATGGTGACGATATCCTAGTTTTGGATAAGACAGGTCGTATTCAGCAGTTTACACAAGATGGCGAGTTCGTTTGTCTAGCTGCAAAGATTGATGCATATTTAGGTAATTCATTTGTTGTCGATGGAGACATGGCTCTTGTTGCCTGCTCGGGCATTGTGCTTGATGAGGTTGGTATTGCCTTGCTAGAATTGTGTAAAGTTTCGCAAATACTTCTTTTCACTAGTTTTTGTACTTGGTATAAGTACGAATTTTCCTTATTCCGTTTGCTTCACCGCACTTCTAACATTTGACAAGCTGTTTATCTGGAAATATACTGAGTGATTCTTGCTAAGATATTTGTTCTTTACAGAATGCTCAAACAATTTGTGATGATTGGTTGGAAATGGTTCCACTGAATGGTAGTGAATGGCTTCCAGATTAAAATTGTATTCGTTGAAAAATTTGTCTATTACTGATGTTGCTCAGTTCATGCGTTTAAAGTTACGAAAGTTGTACTCTCTTTTATTAATAATGTACTGGTTTGTATTTTTGCAGGCTCTGTTTTATGTAAATAGTTCTTTTTTTTGTTTACAAAAAACGTAATGAGTGTGGTGAGAGTTAAATTTAAGATATGTTTGTTATAATTTGAAAATTTTTCTCATTTTGTAAACCTCTGCTGCCACTATTTTTTACATATTTGGAAATGATTGTATGTAGTTATTAAAGTATGAGTGAATGGTTGTGATGTAAACTGTAGTAATTTCAATTTAATCTAGCATATGAAGTAAATTATTATTTTGTCATGTATCACTTATGTCAGATATGCCATGTAAGATCAAAGACGTTGACATAAAATGCTATTTAGTTTAGTTTGTCGTATATACATACATATGAAAACGCGAAACTATATGAGGAATCTAAACAGTAATGATTAAAAGAACGGTATATTCAGGAATTTGTTATGTGTCCATTCTTCGTGACTGTTGCAGTATTGATTGATTTGTTTTAACCCGGCCGGTCCTTTGAATATTACTCGTACTTATTGATAAATTATTTGCTTTTTCGTTCCTAGCTCATTATGACATGAAGGGTTTTATAGCTTGTAGCAAAGAAGACATGGTTTTGAGATGACATTCACAACCCGATGGAACTTGAATGTACTCATAGGACCAGTCTTGGCAATTTTCACTTCCTCTATTCCACAGTACTTGGAATGTCAATGTACGCATATGACATGAACCATGTGCTGCAATTAACAGAAATAATTTCAAAAAAAGGTTTGCGTATAAAGATACCAAGTATTTAATTTGGGTGTTTAATTAATTTAATTTCAGTATTCGGTATAGATTATCTGTTTATTAGTATGTTATAAAGTTTAAACTCTTTGTACATGTTTAACTTTAAAGTTTAAACTCTTTGTACATGTTTAACTTTCACTTATACATCTAGTCTTCGTATATAAATACTATGTATAAATACGAAGACTAGACTGTATATGTGAAAGTTAGTTTACTATGATGGAATTTTTTTTGCTTACTTAGTTTATATATATTAGATTTATTTAAGAATTTTGATCTTTTATTTAATTGATCAACATTAAATGATAAAGGTTACCTTGTTTTGTAATTTTGTCAAAAATGCATCCCATCTTTTTGTTTTGTTTTTCACATTGTAAGGCATTGATAAATCTTGGAAAACACATTTTACTTAATATGTAGATACCACGACAAGATGTACACAGTGTACTGTATTCATTGAATTCTTGCTTACCTTGTGAGATACATTTTCCAACTGGTATGAATTTATTTTCATCTATATACAAATTAATCAATTTATACAAATTTTTATAGATAATTTTTTTAAATATCAAAATAGAAAATAATGATGCTTAATAAGAACTTATTAATAAGCTCGATAAGCTTTTTTTCACTTATGTTTTTGACATTGTTTATAACATTTCCTAATAATAACAAGTTGTGAACTTTAAAAATTATTATTGTTTTTTGATCATAACTTATTGTTTTGTTGGATAAGTATAAGTCTTAAATAATTGAGCTAGTTGAGACAACTTTTTAGAATTAATTACATTATATGTATTAATAGTATTGAAGCTATTTTAATGTATTTAATGTTGTAGACAAGTGCAAATAAGTTTTGAATTATTTACTTACCTATTTGACAAGGTTTTGTAAATTTTTTATTTGCATCGTTTGAAAGAGTATCGTCTGAGAATGGTATATTCAGTAATGTAGTAGTACTGTTATTTTCATCAGCAAGTATTTTTCTCAACTTCGAAACAACGTATTGGCATAAGCCAGTGCATGATAAAGACATCTCTATATTATCCTGTAGTTTAGCAAATTATTTTACTACCTCAAAAAATTGAATATTTTAAAAATAAACTTACTTGGCTATTAAGAGTAAAAGCATCATCATCCATCACTTGCAAATATTCACTTTCTACATCAATTGTATTTTCGAATGAATGAGCGAAGTTTCGGCCAGCATCTTCTGGATTATTAGCCATTATCCATTGATTTAGCATTCCAGCGTCTTGTAACATTTGATAACGATATTTATCATTGTAGTGAGTGCATCGCTTTGTACTATTAGTATGATTTCTGAATTAAGTTAATGAAAATCTTTGATGCATGGTTTCTAGAATCTGCGAAGAGCATAGAGTTGTAGTAATTTATAAGTTTCAGAATTTTTATAGATTTTTATTCAAATGTAAATCATCTATATCAGTTCTTTATAATTATTTTTTTATTTGATAACATATTTGATTACATAGTTCGATAACACACCGAGGAGAGTGATAAATTATTCCTGGTTGTGGTTTACTGACAGCATTCACCGTCATTTGCTTGGATTGCTTCAATTCTTGTAAATTGTACAGTTCGTTTGTACTGTTCACATCCTAGAAGTACTTCGATCCGTATCTGTTTCTGCTCACAAAATATTGAATATTGATATGAAGATGTTATATGCTTGGTTTCTGTCATATTACTAAATGTAATTATTTATGAAAAGTAATTGTAATTATTTTCTGGGATTTTTTGGTTTATTTCATTTGAAAATTTACTTTTTTTTCAATATTGACTGAATTGAATACATGAAATGCAGCGTTTTCTTGTATTCTGATATAAGGTGTGAAGCACTCGAATTCAGCGTATCTACCAGTAATGAGGGACTTATTTTGGGGATTCAAAAGTATTATTGAAGAGCAATAAGTACGCTAGCAGTACCTGCTTATAAATATTGTCTGGTGAAACCCATTGTTCATATTTCTGAGCACTACTGTAAGCATGTTCCACATTTAGAACATTCGATTCATTACCAGTAACTTTTTGCTTGAAATCTAGAAAAGTATAATTTTTCAGAATCATTACTAGCTCATATATTTCTAAGAATATTCCTAAGATATGTGTCAGTAATGTGATGTATGTTACATTTTTCTGATGTAAATTACTCTTGGCATCAGTTCTAAAAGAAGTGTATAACAATAATAATATAACATGGGTCAATTACAGTCGGACTTTAGATTTTTGATTGAACTGATTATTATAGTTTTGCTGCGTTACTGTTGGTTATATTAAATTCAAGATATCTTGTTCTTGATCCAAAAGCATGAGTAACAAGTTATAATATTTTTATCATATCTGCAGAAAACTTTTGAATAGTATATTCAAAATAGAGTTTTTCTGTAAATAAAATTACTTTTGCAATTTTTTTTCTACAGATCGTGTTATCACTTCTGTTTTATGTAGCACTTAACTGCGCAATTACAGTAGGTAAATAAAGTGTAAGAAAATTTTTCATACCTGTTGTGTTGGAGTTATTAATATTGTTACTATTTGTGTCATTCCAAAGTTGATTTACAGGTTGACGAGCTTGAGCTTCTTCAGATAGTAGTGATTGGCAAGGAATAAAACGATCTTTTATCATATTATCAACTTTTCGATAATTCATCACTTGATCATATCCAGTAATCGCAATAACAACAACTACTATCATGCAGCATATAAGCACCAATTGTATAGAGTACTGCACTTGACAAAATATCATAATTATTATTAGTAAGTCAAGTTAGCTACTATTGAATCATGTCTGAGAGTAAGTTTTGAATATAGAAATCGGAAAGATTTTTAAAATTGGTAGTGTTTGTACAGTTGTGGTTTTCAGCAAAAGACTAGATGTAAAGTGCAAGCAGATACAGGTGGGCATAGTCAAACTAGATTTTTTAGATTTATTTTCCATTGTTGATATATTACTTAGCTATAATTCCTAGTCCTATATATATGTTTCCAGTTCATTTTGATATTCTTTGTTGTAAGTAAACAAATGCATTTTCAAAATTGAGTTCAAGAAACAAGTTGTGAAGTAACAAAAGTTTTTAGGAATGTAGGGACTGTGATAAAGAAGAATAAATATTTGCTAGTGTGTGTTAAGAAGCTACCTGTGTATAAGTTACGTACATTAGATGTATATCTTGTAGAAATAGGTTTTTTTTTCTGTGAACTTGTTTTGCAAACGTATAATTGATATAATTCATATTTAAAAGTAACTATAAAGAAGTACTCTATGTTTATAGGTACAAAGTTTACTTATATTTGGACTTCGTTTAATATTTTCACAAATTGTTACGTTCATAAATCGTCTCCTTGTGTTCTTTAACTCTTAGTTTTTTATAGATGAAGGTTTTTGTATTTTTAGTGCTTTGTAGTTAAAAGTCCGTTATCATGGTCATTATCAAGATCAGAATATAAATGAAGGACATTGTTTTAGAGCTAAGTTCGCAAATAAATATATTTTAAATGAGTTTGTATGCTAATGAATTCTGTCTTAGATCTTGCTTTTAAACGGGTTTTTAAACTTTTAAAGGATTTAAAATTATGTCTAGAACTTTATTTTGTGAAGTATAATCAAACTTGTTGCAAGTTCATGGAATTAGTTTTTGAAAATTTGAAAGCCTCCTTTTGTCTTCATAACTGCACATATCAGTATACCTTTAAGTTTCAAGTTTCTCATTATAAATCTTTGTTTAAGTTCCGGGTTAATTTGATTAATGTTGTATTTAGAGATATTGACAATTATTTGAGAGATTCAACTCAAATTTTCTCAGTTATTACTGATAAATTGTTTCTAAACCATCACAAATTTTCTTGCTATATGATAATCAAAGATGCGTAAATTATTGAAATTCTGTCAAGTTCAATTTCAGGATATCATGTTCGCAAAGCTACTTTATATTATCAAAAATGCGCGTTACGTTTCCTGGGACTAAAAAATACTTGTATATTTTGACTGTATTTGAATGCTGTAAAGATAATTTTAATTTCAGATATATTGCTAGAAAAAAGAATCAAGTTATAATGTCTTGCGCTGGTGATATTATACGAAATGCGGCTCATGCAGGATCTTGGTTTGTTAATCATTAATTTTCACTAGTATTGTTCTGTAAACCTGAATTAGAGAAAGCTATCCTCGTCTGAACCATAAGAAATACAGTATTTTAACTCTTAATATCTAAATAAACCCCTTACTGTGATGTACATTTGTCAGTGTTTGAGTAGTCATAATGTTAGTTTGTATTAGGTACACTAATAATCCGAGAACATTGGACAGAGAATTAACCGAATGGCTTTCTGCTGCAGGTTGTCGTAGTTCACAATCTGCTCGTGCCATCATTTCACCGTAAGTATAATATTTATATCAATATAAGTTACTGTATTTGTTATTGATTTTTCAGGATAAACGTTTACCTTTGGATGAAAAAAATATTAATATTTGTATTTTTTTGAGATTTTTTTTGTTCATTCAAATTTTAGTACCATAAATAAGTAGAATTTGCAGAAGAAGCTTCTGTAAATTAAGAAGTTTCAGACATGCTGGTTATTCATATAGTGGGGAAGTTGCTGCTTTTGCTTTCAAACAAATAAAACCGGAAACTGTGTAAATTTCATAAATTTTATCGTCCTTTAATGCCTAAGAATTGTAAATATGTTACCAAGTTGCTGACTTATATCAGTTTTTTAAAAATTTTCAGACTGGCTAGCTTGATTTCTTGCCTCAAAAATTGAAGAAAATTTTCAAAAAAATATATAGTATATTCTGTTTGTGCAAAATGAAATCATGTTTTCTATGACTCTTTCTGTGGTTTCTGAAATTAATAGTTCTTTTTATTATTTCAGTAGTACCATATTCATTTTTGGTCCATCTCATGTGATATCACTAGATGCTTGTTCATTATCTTCTTGTTCACTCTATCGCACACCCATAGGCGATCTTAAAATCAATCAGAAAGGTATTTTTCGTACAGTCACTTTTTCTTAAATTATTTGATACTTGTAGTATAATTGAATTAATCCTTTGGCTACTAGATTAAAGCTTTTACCTTACAGCTAGTTTTACTCTTGTTATTCAGTGTGATGGAGCAATTTAAGATAGATTCAGGATTAATTTCTGGTTTTATGGACAGTCTGTTTTAATATGGATTCTAAAATCAAAATGCATATTGTAAAGTTAGTTCATATTTCAGTATAACAATTTTTATTCTATCTTCTTCATGTCTGTATGTAATGAAAATTGCAGTAAATATGGAGTTGAAAGAAACAGGGGTTTTTTCCTTGATGGATTTGCGTAATGAAGAAGCAGAGCATAGTATCGAAATGCAATTACCTTATATTGCAAAAATTATGGAAAAGTGCAGTCATGTTTAATTATCATTGAATTTAATGGCATGAAGAAGTTTTAAAACTTGTTTCTAAACTGTTATCATTACTTTCTATGAGTAAAATTATAGACAACCAGCAGACAGTTATAGTATTGTACCTGTCTTGGTCGGTTCATTGTCACCTTCTAAACAAGCTGCATATGGCAAAATATTTAGCAAGTATTTGTCAGACCCAAGAATAGTGTTTGTGGTCAGCTCCGATTTTTGCCACTGGGGTAAGTTTAAGTATTAAGCATTTTTTGTATAGTTATCACATCCCTGACCTTACAAATACAAGTTTAGTTTGAAAGAAATTTAGTAACTATTCAAATAAGAATTGTACTTCTGTTTTTTTATTAACCATAATTTAAGGAAACCGTTTTCATTTTACTTCGTACGATAGCAGTTCAGGTGTACCAATATTTGAACAAATAGCTGCTATGGATAAGGAGGTTCCTTTGTTATAAATTGTTTCCTGGTATAGAAGATAAGAAAGAAAGTTTATTCACTTATTTTTCTCTGAAATACTGAGGCAGTAGTTAAATTTGACAGAATTTACTAAACATAATCTGCAAGAAATTACATGCTTTTTGCAGGGAATGGATATAATCTCCAGTCTTGATCCTGCTGCCTTTGGAAAATATTTGAAAAGGACACAAAATACTATTTGTGGTAGAAACCCGATAAGTGTCTTGCTTTATGTAAACATGCTTGATATTATTTTCTATAGATACACATCGCTTCTACATACTACCCTTTATCCTAAAGAGTAAAATAACTACATCACAGTGATTCTCAGGAAAGCCTGTAACTGAAATACTCAGGACAATTTTTTGATGCATCCAACTTCTTTTATAGGCAGCGGAATACTTTCGTCAAATGAATAGTCACCGTGCTGAATTTGTTTTCCTAAAATATGCACAGTCCAATCAGGTATTTCTTTATTTAATTTTAACTGCAAGACCTAACGCAACTGATAAAGTTAGATTTAGCTGACCATTTCTATTATGAGACCTTTCATGCATAATTCGGAAGCAAAATTGATTTGAAAATCAAGAATTTCATTGTATCCAATGTTAAATAGTGGAATAAGATTAAAAGGAAAATCTGCCTGTATAATGAGTTCTATTTATTCATTTTCATTTCATTTAGATTCATATTATACTTATTACATGTTTTTTTTTTAAAACTGAGTCAGAAATTCTGTTCAAAAAAGATTCTCTACAAAGGTATCTATTACAGAGCCGTAACCAGAACGATTCATCCGTATCATATGCAGCAGGTGCCCTATTTATTTATCCCCAGGAATAAGCAGAAGTATGTGGAGTGCGATCACAACCATAACCAGCAGATCTTTCACAGTGACGACAGTAAAATAATGTGTTTCGTCAACTGACTTGAGTTGTATATAAATCTTTTTATCAACAAAATTATCCTCATTCGTAGTTATTTTCTTCCGTATTAATAAAAATTGGGAGAAAAGAATGCAATAAAATGAAAGGCATTGAACAAGTTCTTCAAATTTTTGAGTTAAATGTTCTTTTAAATAATAATTTTTAATTACAATACTCGTTGTATTATTAGAACTGCAGTACAGAAGCATTTTTTTGCATGAACCTGTTGATTTATTTAAAACCAATTACAGAGAGAATGACTTTGAGAGTCTGGACATTTTAAGAAAAAATATTCCAAGTTAAAGTTTTATTTTGAGATCAAATGGCTACTGAAATTTTGAAGGAAAGCACCAGGTATGAAGAGGTGAACAGGAATTAACAAACATTAATGACGACGCAAATCAGTCTTTGGAAACTCCTGAATGGGACTATGCAGTGATTTCTTTCTTTTTGTAATTTAGTAACAGTATAGGCAACTGTAATGAAGTGAAACGGTGCCTAAAAAACAAATATGAAGAGAAATGCACTATAAATTTGTTGTAAAATGAAACTATCTGCTTACAGTAGAACTTTTTCTTTTCCGTTGCTCACTACACCGCTCACAAAACCATTTTCCCTTAGGTGCTTCTGTAAGACCGACGCATTGGAAATGGAACCATTCAATGGCGCATTGTTTATTATCACACATTATCATCTGACCATGCGAAACCTAAAGAACGATTCAGCATTTGTTTCGAGAAATGAATGTAGCATACATGGCATAACTAGAAAGGATACTTGCTTACATTACGTAAAATTACAGTGCTAACGATTTATATATAAACAATATCTACCATTATTCTTAGAAACAATGTTAGGATTTCAGTAACAATAAATGTGCGTCTGAGTAATCTCAATAAAAGACGCGCAGATTAGAACTGAATTATCGATTTAAAAGCAGTGGTTAGTGATATAGAAAAGCTTTAACTCGATGTAATCACATGAAAAAATGACCTGTTGGCATGTGCAGTATGTAGGTTCGTCAGGATCAACAGGCATTTCCATTACTGGTGACTCTTCCATGAGAGATGCCAGTGGCGTGGTTGTGAGAACTGGAAGTGTGCATAAAATTAAATTACGGATGAATTATGTGTGGTAACTATTAGAAGGAAACAGGTACTAGTGACATTAATGTGGCCCACATTCCGTTGTTTAGCAAAGGCCAATCTTATTTAAATTCGAGAAGTTTAATGACACTAGAGAGAATATCAACTTTCTTTCTCGAATTACTTCTTGTTTGAATTTGCCTCAGTATACTATTTTCCAGATGATAAAAAACAAACACGACTTCTAAGATACTCAATTAACACATGCTGAGCTTTCTAACACACCTTTATCTTTCTGCGCCCAAATATCATCCTTAATTTTTTTTTTACTCCTGCGTCCCGAGATCCACTTGCGTTTTCGATCTTGCACTTCATCTGAATAAAATTAAAAACGGAAGTAACGAGGCTTCTTCATTATTTGACATTTTATAAACAATTCATGACTTGGAGTCAAATAAATACGTCATGATGATTAGGGAATGAGTACAATGTCTTGCAGCTTGATAATAATAATTTTTAGCAGTTGTAACTACAAAAGAAGTCATTAAACAGAGAAAAAAATCATCATCAATGATGGTGAGAATATTTCTACTGTTACATTCCACTTAAAGACTGAAATATATTTTTTTAAAAGAACAAATGAAGTCTTACCATTATTTCCTGCAGTTACAGATGTCATAGGTTGCGCAGCAACATCTGGATGTCTTTGTTTTATCAAAGCTTGAAGCTTCACGGACTCATTATCCAAATGCCTGATGTGTTTGTCGACAAGTTCGTATGTATCTGACGCCAATCTAATCTTTTCATTTGACAAACGCTCAATTTCATCGAAAAGTGCCTTAAAATATTACTGAATAAAATTTGATCATTTCAGGTACCTAAGTATAAAAACGAAACTTTCGTGAGATTAAGACCACAAACTCTTAATCAAAGGACGGTTATATTTGGGTTCACTGAAACAAGGAAGCTAATTAACCAAGCAGTATAAAGTTTTGCGCAGTCTTTACGAATACATTTTGAAGAATACATAATTATTTTTGGAACATAAAAATGCATGTAATAAACTAAAAATATGGAAATCTCTACCATAATTTCTTTGTTAAACGAAACTGCAGAGTTTTTTGTCATTTTCTGACATGAATCCACGAATATCCTTAATTTCTGATCAATCTCTGCTGAACGTTTCTGACATTCTTTATCATATTTACGAATTCCCGACAAATTTTTGGCCAAATCTTTTGGAAGTGTAGACAATTCACTCAAAAACTGTTCGAGCATTCATAAAATTTCTGAAAGTTAAATAACGGGAAAAATATATTGTCAAATTTTAGTGAAAAACCGGATAAATCTTCAATAAATTAGCATGATCAATAAATAAATGCCATAGTAATTGTTAATTTTGTCAAATTACTTGTAGAAAAATGATTAAAGTATAAAAACAATGACAACATATAAAGTATATTTATCTAATATTTAAACAAATAATGCATTTCATATTATGATGAAGACTTGTTTTATCACTATGATCTGAGCGTTATGCAAATATATATATCAAACTAATTTCATTGAGAAATTAGTGCCATAGGATGAAAAGTCATTTTGAATTATTTCTTAGTCATTAATGATTAATTTTGTTATTATCTAAGTTGGATGAATTATTAATTGTGACATTTTGTATCGAAAAATAACACATTTGCGAAAATTTATGTATGCTGCAGAACTAAGCACATAGCTGTTAACATATTTTCAGCATAATCATTTTAAAAGTGAGAAATTCATTTAGTGCTATTTTTCATTATTCAGTTTTATTTTCAGTTATTTTTTTACACTTTAAGAATAGCAAAGAAAAATTTTTTACTACTTTCTTAATAAAAATTTAATTTTTTTACATGTAGAACAAGAAATGAAAAAAAAGTAACAAATATTTTTTGTTGCATACTAAATTTTTCGTAAAAATTGGTGTAATAACGCAACTTTATCAAAAATTTTCTCCACTAATCCTATTGTATTTATGAATATTAATTTTCTTTTCCACCAAAATTTGATATTTTCAATGATTTAAAGAGTATTTTTTAATATAAATGATAGATAAGTTATTATTATTGAAACGGAAATGTGCAAGCGATAAAGCTGAAAAGTATTATCCAAAAAATTCACTGGCACATTTCTCTACTATTATTTTGAATAAATATTATATTTTAATTTTTTTTCAGTAAAAAAAATTAATTCTATCAAATATTTAATATTATTGTATAGTTTTCTTTGTAAAATTTTAATTAATACATGATATAAAATATTCTGGGAATGATTTGTCTTCGCATAAATTTGTTACGTTAATTGTAACATATGTTTATGTAGAAGATACTATATAAAAGGATTTTTTTACTTTAAAAGAATAAAAGTCTGGGGAATATAAGAGTGATTAAAATAATTACCATACGAATTAAATCAGAGCATATTATTTTAAGAACTTACAAAATAGAGCGGGATAATAATTTGCATATCTGGTGGAAATAAAGGCCGCGATTATTTTTTCTAAAATAATATCGTGCCTAGATGGTAGCTGTATTTCGTTCTTAGTGAGGGCATTGTTTGTGTATTTATAGCGTGTAGAGTTTACGTTAAGGGTAATTGTTGTCTGTATGTAAGAAATATTAGTATGAATAAAGTTTTGATTAGTTATGTGATTAATTATGAAGTAATGTTAAAACAAAAAGTATGTTTGTAACCCAATCAATAAGCCAAAAAAGTATTAGCATTAATTTCAGTCAATAGCAAAGCTTATTTTAGATTAAATTCAGCATTATTAATTGTTCAACTTTCGTATTTAATCTCCAATTTTAGTTGATTGAAGTATTTTGGTATAGATCGTGTGGAATTGTGGAATTTGTACTTATTGGTATTTGAACTATGTCACAGCAACAGCAAGCAGGCCACAACATTGTAAGATTCTCAAGATTTAGTTCCTAGTTTCATAAGAGTTTCAAAATTTACTTTGGACTTTTATTGTTGCTAAATGCAGTCATCTTTCCCCTGAGAGTAGAATAGTAAGCAATGTATATGTTTGTATCACACTATTTTAAATGTAATTTTGAAACGTTCATAAGACATTTCGTCTTTTCTAACTTAATTTATATTTTCACATCATGATTTTAAATGTAGAAAAAAGTAACAATGAATTAGATTAAACCTTTAATTTTATTAATATAATAGATCACATTTGATAGCAGCTATGACCTACTGAAAGCTAATGCAGCTCATGATAATTTTAAGTTTGGTAACAGAATATAGTGGGTTTTGCAGGTTGATGTATACAAAGGTGTAATAAACGATGTTATCACTCAAGTTAAGGAAGCATTTCTTGATGAAAATGTTGATATTGATGTTTTACAACAACTAAAGAAGGTTTCTTATGACTATTTTATGCTTCTTATGAATTTAAAATAACTGATTCAAAAAATTTTAAGTTTGATCAACTAGTTCTTAATTTTAGCTGTAATTCTTTTTTTTTCTCAGTTTCATATTTGCGTTGGTCCCATGTAAAAGTAATGACTGGATATTATGATTACACTTTTGGGAATTCGTTTTTTATGGATTTGAACTGCACTATACTAGTGGGAATATTATATGCCTAGCTCATCTCTTGATAAATTTTTTCTAGCTGTTTATCGTTAATTTTTCGCGTTAAGTTTCAAGTAAAAAGTGATGGAAAATTTCTGCAGAACTCAAAAAAGGCTTTATGTTTTTAATCAAATGATTTATGTAGGATTGGGAAGAAAAACTGATCGCCAGTGAAAGTGTTGATTGGGATGGCCCACGACATGTTCAACCTCCTCCACTGAGGCAAATGAAGCAGCCAGTTATGGCAGCTGCAACTTTATCGACAGGGAGTTCTGTTCGTATTGCTCAGAATGGGCAAGTATGTATCATTTATTTCTATTTTTTCTTTATTAATATCTAAATGGGAGGACAAAAAATTTAATACTTTATAACATTCTAAGGTAATGTTGTGTTTGATATTTAAGCACATACTGGTGCAGCAGTCAGTACGATCATCGTCATCACAATCCAATCAGCCAACCTTGGTTATGCAAGCTAGTGGTGCATCAAATGTACAGAGGCCGGTTCATCAGGTTCAGTACATAAGCGCTACGAGCCTTCCAATTACCAGTGATCCAAATACAGTTGTAATACAAGTAAGTTTTCTATGGTTCAAATTTCTTGTTAGTTTGGTTGTATGAAATTTCAGATCATAAAGTTTGTTAATGAAATCCTTTTTGAATGATAACATCTGTAGTAGTGCTTCAAGTTCGTAGATTGAGAAATATGTTGAAATGCACCAATTTATCTTTCACGTTTGCAGCCATATTTATTGTAAGTTGGTGGAAAAATTCGAGTTTTTAACCAACCTTTGTTAACCAGGTTTTACTTTTTTAGCGGCAGCCGGTGAACCAAAACCCTGCACAGATAACCACTGTGGCTCCTGGAATGATTGCATTTCCGGCTGGACAAGGTCAGGCTCGAATAGTCCAGCAGGGTGGTCAACAATTCTTGATGCATGGTGTGAAACTTCAGAATTCAAATTTTCGTCATTATTTCGTGTATGATTGGAAAAAAAAAAACCCAAATATTTTGTATTACTTATCAAAAGACTTTATTTCCATTCAATACGTTTCTTTATTAATCTGTAAATAGTGGTATAGTTTTTGTTTTATAAATCATTGTTCGTTGACGGTCTTTGTTACAGGAGGTGGAACAACTAACATTCCTACGGGTAGTAGTGTCATGATATTAAATGCCGGCTCTCAGATCCCTGTGACGCTAAATAACGCTGTCGTTTATCAAGCAGCTAACCGTCAGCCGCAACAGTCTGTGCAGTCAGCAATAAAACCAGAAGATGGTATACAGATGCTTGATGGATCGACGAATTTGGTAGTCAATATTTCTAAAGCTGGTTCATCTCAATTTGTTCGCAAAACCAATGAAAAGAATCTCAAGCGCAGTGGTGAGGATTTTATCGTAAAATAAAAAGGATTTTAAAATATGATCCACACTAACCGAATATTTTTTTGACTCACTGCTTATGTATTTAATTCATTTTGAATTGTGTAATTTTTTCATT